ACGGGTGTCTTTTCCTTGTTCAGCATCAAAAGTGTTGTGTCTAAGAGTCTTCCAGCCTGGTATCTTACTCACTGAAGAGTTTTAAATATGGATATATGTGTGTTAGACCTGGAAGTGGTCCCATGCAAAATGTAATGAAGCTGGGCTGCTCTGACCTCTGAGCTCCTAGGCGTTTGTTTTGGCTCCCTCACAGAAACCTGCAGTATACAAATTGGCACTTGTAAAAATGTTCAGATAAATCAAAAAATGGCACAGGGGGGAAAAAAGTTTCAAACTGTTTCTTTTGGGACCCTTGGCCATGCTATTTTGGATGTGTGTTTTTGTGGCAGCAGGCAGTTTGTTGCTTGAAGAGAGCTGAAATATTCTAGGAAGTCGGGCTAGCTGGATTTAGATCTCAAGTGATGCCAAAACTAATATAGCCTGTAACTAAGTGAGAGTGACTTTGCACGGGGAATGTCAGTCACCCGCAGCTTTGTCTTACATTTTCATAGGAGCCTTTTAAAAAAGCAAAACACAAACAGAGCCCCGGCAAACGTGGGAGCTGCTCCCATCCAGTGGAGCTGTGGTTTCAGTGCTCCTCATCCTCAGCCCAGGGAGGGGCTGGATGGGGATGGGGATGGGTTGTGAGAGCAGGGAATGCCTGCGGCGCTGGGAGCTGGGCTGGCCTGGAGTGCCCTCTCTTGGCTGCTGCACACCTCACCTTTGGGAGGGACAAGGCAGCAGCCAGCCTGCTTTATCACTTTTCCTGTCCCAGCAGGATGGGCAGAGGTCAGCAGCGCTGGTTCTGTCTCAGGTTTGCTTCCCAAGGCATTCTGAGTGTGGGTGTGTGGTGCCCATTTTGGTAATCAAAGCCACAATAAAGCTGCAGCTCCAGGGTTGCACACAGGGCTCTCTGAACTCCTGGGACTCTTTAACATTTTAGCAGAGCTCAGGTTTTTAAGAGATTTCATAGTGCCCCAAACCCAGGCATCCCAGGGGCAGCAACAGCAGTGGCCCCTGCCTGACTCTCCACTGCTAAATGAGTCCAGAACAAACGGGGCACTGAAAATAAGGAGAAACATTTGACACCTGGACTCCGGGAAACATTTGTGGGTTTTGATGAGGAGTGGGGTGGGGGAGAGAAGGGAAAACCTATGGTTCAACGTAGTTAAATATATGGTGTGCTAAGTATGAATAAACTGTGGCTATTTTAAACAAGTTCCTAGAATCCATGGCTGGCTGTGGCACAGAGGGGAGGACAGCAGCTGCAGCACAGGAGTTCTCCAAGGGTTACCTGGGGGCCACTGTCCTGGGCTGCTGCTGCTACATGGCAGGGGGCAGCTCTCAGCGTTTACACAAGTGGCAAACGTTCCAGAATGTGATTCTTCTCTTAAAAATGAGCTTTTTGGCTTCAGGGGCTTTGTCTCCTCACTGCCTTGCAGTCTTGATTCTTTTCCTCGTTGCTCATATGAGTCATTATTCATTGGTGTACAGGAATCCTTCAGGAAAGGTAAAAGTTCCTCTTTAAATGTGCCAAGGCTCGTTCATGACAACCTTGGAGGTCTTTTCCAGTCGTAATGTTTGTGTGATTTGTGCTCATTTTAACATGGCCAGTTCGCATGGGATTGTCCATCGCACTCCCCTTGTGCTCTGGTACAAAGCCATGTGATAATTTCTTGAAATACTGAAATTGTATCACTTCTGGGTTTGTGGGGAGAGTTGCAAACTCCATCCCAGTAAACGAGCCTTCACTTTAAAGTGGAGGCTGAAATCTGCTCCTGCCTGCTGGTGACTAAAAATCACTTTGAGCCAAGTAAAGTGAGTGTAGAGCCTCAGGGTAGGTGTGCAGTCACACTGGTGCTCTTGGGTAACTTGGAATGGTTCTGGCTGCTCTGTTAACGTGGAGGCAGCCCTGAAATCCCACCGTGGGGGTGAACTTGCCTTTTAACTGTACTAACTGTATACAAACTGTACCTTTTGCACTCAGTATAGAAGGAGAGGATCTGTTTTTCATCCTGCTGCAAGCACTGCTTTCTTTCAAAAACAAGACAACAGCCCTCACGGCCCGGTTGCACTCACCATTTAGAAAATGTGAATTTGGTGTTTGCTGTCTTGTTTTAGCAGGTGCTTCTTTAGGGTGTGCTTGGGATCAAGGGTAAACCATAAGGCAAGGTTTCAAAAAAAAAATCCCAGTGTTCCTTTGGTGTAGATAAGGAAAGCACAGTTCAATCCACAGTTGTGGTAGAATATTAAATTACAGAGAGAATATGGATATACGTGATTACACCTTGCAGTTCAGTGGGTCTGTGCCTTCTTGTGCAGCTTTTGTTGCATTCCTCGTGGCAATCCCATCGTGATTCAGGCACTGGTGAGCCCTGAGGTTCTGACACTGCTGGTGCTGCTGCTGAGCTCTCCCTGTGCAGCTCATCCCGCTCCTCTCTCCCTGTGCAACAGCTCCCTCTGCTTGAAATCAGCAGTGGAATTGTTTCCTACTTGCCTGCACAACAGTTTTTAACGTGGGCCCCCTTTTTTGAAGATTCCTGCTGCTCCTCATGGAGCAATTCCAGGCTTGTGCTGGTGTGTGTTGTGAAGCAGGGAAAATTAACCACATTGTCCTCAAAACTTCTCTGCCTCGAGCTGCTGCTTTGCAGGGTCTCTCTTCCTTTTGGAACACTTCTTTCAGCTAAATTGTCTCCTACCAAAACATGATGATTTATTGAGCAAAACTGTTTTTGTTTCAGTGGTGAGTTGGAACAGGACTGCTTCTCATCAGAGATGAGTAGTTAGGCCACTGACCCTGCCCAGAAGCAGCTGATGGTGAGAGTCCCATGTCCTGCTTAAGTGGTTCTGATCCAGAACCCAGAAAAGAACTGATTTAGATCAGAGGTTTGAACCTGGTTCTGCCCCATCCTCAGCCAGCACTGACATTACTGGGCCAGTCCTTCACTCACAGAATTTTGTCAGCTTTTCTGCATGGGTGGGGATGAGTGCTGGGTTTGTTTCGTTCACTTTTTACCAATAGAGCTAAGCCAGCAAAAGTCATATTATAAAAGCTGTTGTGTCAGCAGAGGTGTTGTTTTGCTGAGAGAGCATTCACCCATTCAGGGAACCAGCCTAAACCTCCCTGGCCATGGCAAGACGAGCCCATGGTAGGAAAACTTGCTGGTTTAGTTCTGCAGCAAAGCCTCCCTAATGTGAACAGTGCCTTGCTTGCTGGGAAGGGGCTCTCTGGATCCTGGGTCTGCAGAGATGTCCAGAAGGTCATTTCTAATTTGCAGTGGAGCAAACCCCCAGATTAAAACCAATTTACAAGTCTGTGCTGGTTCCAGGGTGGTTGAGGTTTGCTGCCAAGAACAAAGGGCAGCAGTAACTTCAGTTTTCTGCGTCCAACACTTAAAGCTCTTTTTTTCCTTCACATTTTGGAATCCCTTTGGATTCCTCTTCGGAACTTGCTGGGCTTTGGTTTGTTCCTGGAAATCTCCTGAGGGGATGCTGTTGGAAGCGCAGGGAATCCTCCCTGAGCACCAGGTGCAGCAGGTTTGGGCACAGACAGCTCGGGCAGCTCGAGCACCTTGGCACAGGAGGTGAGCACAGGGAGCCTGCTGGGCTTGGCTGCCAGGACGTGGCACTCGGGAGGAAACATCTTGTGTGCACTGCGGATAAATTGCAAAATTGTAAAATTGTAAAAGGGCAGGATCGAGCAGCAGAACAGGAGAGAATTGTTGCTGATCTTTATTTACTCGAATCCAGCCCCTGCGTGGCTCTTCCTGCTGAACTCTAATTTCACTTCTCTAATTCCAGCCTTTTACAGATATTACAGGCATTGCCTCATATGTTTGCACATACCTTAAAAAACATGTGTTCTTGGAAAGCAGTGTATAGTCATATAAAAATAAAGAGCTTAAAAAGCATTCCTGTTTTCAAATTAACACTGAGGTGCTGAATTCATGGTGGTCTTTGTGATTTGAATTTTGCCCTTTTTTTATCCCTCCCATGCCCTGAATAAGATGCAGGTCCTGAGGGAAAAATAGTCCATGATTGTGTATTTGGAGGCCCAGTGCATGCAAGGAGCATTTATGAACTTTATGAGCCCTTAGCAAGGGGGAGAAAGGCTATAATTGCAATCTTAAAAAAACAAATGAGGAAACAAAAAATATATAAAACAATTAAAACTCCATATGTTTTTTTTTTGTATGTCTTTCTGCCAGTATATAATAATTTGTAATTTTATTGGATTGAGAATAATTTTTTAATGAGTGAAGGCATGATAGAAATGGTACAGGACACAAAGCAAGGGCCAATACAGGATAAAATATTACGTGAAGTGGATATCTTTGCATCAGTTTACAATGTGTATAGTATTTTGTGCTTGACACTCTCTGTATCCACCACTACAGTGTTCCTTGCCTTCAGTAATAATCTTAGTTACTCTTCTGTTGCTGTCTCCTGTTCCCTGTTAAGGTGGAGAAAATGTCACTTCTGAGTTGTCACGTGGAGTCGACAGAGCAGAAACGCTGCAGTCACACACCCCACATCAGCTGCTATTTCTTCAATATTTGGGGCTTCCATTTGAGCTTCAGATTTTGAATTAAATTTCTGACGTTGCAGTGGTTCCTTTTGCCATCATTTCTGCTGCTCTGAAGCCCTTGGGTGACGTGCAGAGTGGTTATTTTCTGTGACATTAGCACGTCCCAGGCTGGATGGAGGCTGGTGGAAGGCTGCCAGTGTTGTTGTTCTATTTGCAGCTTGGCCTGGCTGTGCCTGTGTGTGTAAGGAGAGGACAGGCAGGGTATCAGTCACCTTTCAGATCTTAACATTTATTAATGGATTAGGCAGGTGATGGAATATCTTCCTTTTTGCACAGTCTAAACCTTGGCAGTGTTGGCAGACAGCGCTTTTTGAACGTCTTCAGTCCCGTAGCATCAGAGGATGAACGTGCTTGAGTGCTCCTTACGCGCCCCAAACAAACATCATCTTTCAAGGCCTTCACCTGGGGGTGTTTTGTGTTATTTCCCCCCCAGGACCCCTTGGATCCAGCAGGAACAGCCATAGTGATCAGCTCCCTGGTGCCTGGTGGCGTGGCCGAGCGCGGGGGGCAGATTTTGCCGGGCGATCGCCTGGTGTTCGTCAACGAGAAACACCTGGATGGTGCCACCTTGGCAGAGGCAGTGGAAGTGCTGAAATCTGTGCCCCCAGGGACAGTTTCCCTTGGGATCTGCAAGCCTTTAGTGGTAAGAACTGATTTTAATTAATTTTTTATTTTTTTTCTTATTTCATCCCATGGGGTTTGTGGGGAGAATTCGGCATAGGGCACGTGTGCGTTTGGGAAACAGCCGAGCTGCTGTGCCTTGAGAGGGCCAAAAGTCCTGGCAGCTCAGTGTCCAAAACCAGCATCCTCAAGTTCCTCCTTCAAGAACAGCCACGTGGAGCTGGGAGATGTGCCTGGGCAGACCCTTGTGCACAGGTGTAATGTGGTGCCAGCACTTCAGCAACCCAGTTAAACGTGTGCTGGAGCCCATTTCTCTCTCAGACACTACTGAGGGCTTGCTTGAGCTCCATTGACATCAAAGAAAGCTGCTCTGTTTGAAGTCAAGACTGTAAATTCAGGCAGAATTTCCCTTTTCTGGAATCAAGGCTTTGGAACAGTAGTTTACTGGGGAATGCTGCAGTATTGTTCATCAAGGGCACCCAGGCAAAATTAATTAAAGCCCCAGTTATCAGAAAGTGCTTGTAATTCAAAGTGGTAGAGGAGTTGTGAAATAGGAGTGTAGGAAAGCTGTTAAATATATTATTTCCTTTCCTAAAAATTGGTATTTCGTTGTTCATATCCTTGTATTTGTCTTCCCTTCCTACACATCTCTTTAGGTCTTAGTGCATCTGAACCAGTACGTTCAAAGAACAAAAGCTGTTGACTTCTCCATTTTTGACTTTCTATTTTTATGATTCTTTTCCAGTGGCTGGTTCTCCTTCTCCCTGTTAATTTATTAAAAGATGTGGGATTTTTTTTTTTTTTGGTCATTTTCCCAACTCATTGTTTGGATTACCTTTTTCAGGGAGACAGCAGAGAGGAGGAGAAAATGCACGGTGTGGATACCAGCAGCATCAAAAGCAGCCCTGGGTCTCCAGAACCAGTAGATAACACAAATTTCTCAGTAATACTTGAAGCACCACAGGTATTTGGTTACTTTTTTCGGTTCAACTCCAGTTTATACAGACAGGAAATGATGTTTTAAAGTAAAAAAAATGCAGTATGTTTTTCAGATAAGGCTGGAAGTATTGGATTCCCTCTAAGAGCAAACTGTGCCAAGTGCATTGGGAGCACTCACCAATGCAGCTCCCAGACTGCCTTATCAAATTTATTATGTCATTAAAATACCTTGGGTTACCTTGGATATGAAATAGGAATGCTGTGTTGTTATTATAATCAGAAGTGGTGGGCTCAGCTTTGCACAGAAAGTAAAGTATGGAAGCAGAATGCTTTTAATTATCATGAAGCAAAACAAAAAAGTAGTTCAGAGTGTAAGGCACTCTTGAAATACTTTCTTCTTCATAGCCTTCTAATGTTCTCTGGAGTGATTTCTTTGCTCTTGCCTCAACTCTCCTCATCCTTACTATCTGAGAAATAATTCTGTTTATTGTGGGAGGATGTGGCATTAAAGATAGTGAGAAACTCAGATACCAGGGTAATAGGCAATAATATTGCAGTTCTCACCAGCGCAGAGCTAGAGAGATGTGGATATCTTGTAACTTTCATCTGTTCTCAAGTGCTTTGCAAAATTCATGCTGGTAAATGTATTCTTTTTACACCAGAAAATACAACACATAAAGGATCATGCAGAACTGCAACACAGGAAGAAAAATAAATTCCAGATTTTCTTGTAGCTGAACATGTGTACCTGTCTCTGGATGCAAAACTGGTTTGAATGCTGAAATGGTAGATTAGAAGCACCAAAAGGAGAAGTATTGTAGGGTAGATGTGGGTACACTGTGAAGAAATTAGCCAGGATGATGATAAGTGATATTTACTGATTTTCACAATGTAAAATGGCATTTGTTGTTTTCTGGGGGCATGAGAAGGGTTGCAGAGAATTTATCCTCTGCCAGCTTAGAGCGGTTTTCTACTTCCTAAATAAAACCAATGTCATTAAGTATTTTTAAAGAAAATATTTTATCTTAAAGTCCTGAAACTGGAACGATCAATTTGGACAAAACACCCACAGGAAAATTTACTTGCATTTTGTTTTACCTCATGTGTGACAGCTTTAGTAGTAGCCAAAATTATTTTTTATTATCTTACCTGCTCACACAGGTAGCCAGGAGTGGTGTGTAGTGCTGGCTCCCACTCTGAAGCACTGGCAACCAGAATTTCAGCCCCAAAATGATGGAATTTGGGGATTTTATTTGCCTCTGTGTCGTGTTTGCAGCATTCCCTGTGGTGTTAGTGGTGTCTGGTGCTGCAGTGCAGCAGTCAGGGAGGATGCAGAGCAAACTGCTGGGTCAGGGACACAAACCCTGCGTGGTTCTGGGCAGAGAAAGCTGATTTATGTGCCCTGGGCTTGGGGAAGTGTTGGGAGAACGACGCCGCAGGAGCCGAGGGGAATGAAGTGAACATGGAGAGAATCAGGATCTCTTCAGCCTGGGGGTTTTGTGAGATCGAGGTACACAGATCAGATGGCTTAAAGGGACATTTAATGCTAATTAAATTAATAAAATGGGCTAATTTCTGGGTTGCTGGTGTTCTGCTCTCGTGCCAGCTATTGGCTGCGTTGTTTCCTTATGCTCCTGCCTCTCTCCTCTTTTCTCTCCTGCCTCTCACTTGAGTTATACAAACATCTCGCCAGTGTCTGGGGCTTTCCTTCTGTATTTGTACAAATGTAACAAAACAGGATCCTGACACCGAAGGTCAGAAGTGGTGCAGAGCCATGGGGAGCCTGGGAAGGGGCAGGAAGCAGAAACAAAAACATTTTGAGGAAGGAGCCCTGGGTCTGTCCATTGGTTTTGGAGTCTGGGGGCTCAGGGCGTTGAAGTTGGGTTTGGGGGTTCTGTGGGCCACAGGGATTTGGTGGCCTGCAGGAAAAGAGGGGAAAGCTCTCAGTGTGTGGCAAAATGCTGGGATAAGTGCAGGGCATGAAATCCCAGCTGCCTGTGCAGCCTCACTGAGAGCCAGTGATCAGCACCCCATTCCATCTGGGGAAATAGGAATTGTTGGAAGCTGGGGGAGCACGTGACAAATCCCAAAGAGGGAGCTGCTGAGTGAGATCTTTCAGAGTGGGTTTTTATACCTTTTCCCTCGGTTTTGTTGGTTTTTTTGGTTGGTTTCTCTGTGGTTTGAGCGCTGGAAGGTAATGAACAGTCATTTATATCCTTTTTTTTGGGGGGGGTATGTGGGCCTTCCATTTTTCCATTTCCCCTCTGCCCCAGGTTAAAAGTTGGATGGAATATCCAAGGTAGGGGCAAGCAAGTATGGATTTTATTTGGGGGTTTTTGTGGGGTGTTTAAGTTGCTGACACTGTTGCATAATCAAACTCTTGGGCTGTTTATTTAGCTGATAGCATTTCAAGAAATGTTCATGCATTCATGAAGCAACAGCAGATATGTCTGAAGCACAGAGATACTTTAACTAGATTTATATGTACTCTTTCCTATGGCTGTTTCAGTGTTAATTAATAATTTCATTCCCTAACTTCAGGCCAGATTGGTTTTTCCAAATGGCTGCAGCAGCATCTAAGCTGTGCAACTTAAATTTCTTTATATTGAAAAAAAAAATAATTGCACTGTCTACTTTGAGTGTGAAAATCATAAGTCAGAGACTCTATTTTCTTTTAGAAAATGCAAAAGGTAGAAGATTTTTTAAATCAGGATGTACTTTTAAAGTGGGCAGAAAATAAAGCACAGCTTTAAAAGAGTGGGGTGGAAACATGGTGTAAAATCTGTATTTCTTTAATGATCTTTGCAGGGTTTCAGGGATGAGGTGCCTTTCAAAGAAGAACTCGTTGATGAGCCCCATCTGGACTTGGGAAGGTCATTTCAGCTTTCTCAGAAGGATGAGGAGTATGGGAAGGAGTCCTGGGAGATGTGTGAGTTTCTGAAAGTCAGAGCAGAGGACGTGGAGGAGGAACGGGAAATGTTGGTGGATGAGGAATATGAGGAGGATTCAGACTTCCTGAAGGGGGATGATGCATCAGGTGGAGAGGAGGCAGCTTCAGACAGGAACCTGGACACAGAACGATGGGCAGAGCAACTGGAGGATGATGAAATACAAGATTTAAGATCCAGTGTTAGCCTAAATGCCAAAGAGTCCCTGGAATATCCATTCAGGAAAGATCAAATGGTAAGGAATGCTGTGCTGAGCACAGATCCCTCAGGGCAGACTCCAAACCCGAACCCTCAGGACTCTCTCTAGGGTTTTAATGACTAGAATTTAATTTATTAAATTCAGTTTAATTACTAGAATTTCATTTATTAAACTTAGACGATTTATTGACTTGTGTACCTCTAGCAGACACCAGTCTTTCCTTCTGTACATTTTGGAAGGTTTTTTAGGTAACCTATTGCCTGTATATTTACCTGCTGGAGTGAAATACGTGTATTGGTGTATTTACAGGCATCCTGAATTTGTCTTTTTACCCAAAAACTTGTGGGTTTGGGGGTTTTTTTGTGGGTTTGGGTTTTTTTTGGAAGCTGTGCTGGTATGGGGCATGTCAGTAATAGCAGAATGTCACATCATGGGTTTGAGAGTCCAGAGGGTTCAGTGAAAGGAACTCCCTCTTTTCCTTATTTTTATAAACCCAAATCAGTTCCTTCAGCCAGATTGTGTATTTGAGTAAAAACTGATATGGTGGAAGGAATTGTGGCAAGGATAGTAGTGGATTAAGGAGTGGGAGGACACAGGTTCAGGTAAATTGCAAAACTCTTATTTGTACATCTTTCTCAAGTACTGAGAATTATTTTTTCTTTCTGATTCTTTGTTCATCCCCTCACCAAACAAAAAGCTGATATTATCAGCCTCCCATGCACCAGCTTCTGAAGCGTGTGTGCTTTTACATGAGAAAAAATGGAGTGGAAAAGGATTTGACATCACAGCCACAGAGAATTTCAGGTTTTGTTTGGCTTGTCCCCTTAAGCAGTATGTGTATAAACAGATAAAAAGAAGTTTCTACTGACAGTTTTATACCACAGTGCACAAAATTAAATTTATTTGTTTGTTACTTATAAAAAACAAATGAGCAAAAGGAAAGAAATTTTTGTCTGAATTACAGGTGAGGAGAAAGATACAGTTGCTTTATATTTCAATTGCATGTAACATTTCTCATGCCTCTTCTTAATGCAGTGCATAAATGAGCAGTTAGTATTTAAATGAGCAGTTAGTATTTCATAGTTACCTGAATAAATATGAATGTAGCTGAGGAAATGTGTATGTTTGCGGTAAAAATTAATGTTCCTGTCAAATACCCCTGTGTAAGTTAATACCATTGCTTTCTAACTTTAATTACTTCTTTTCTCCTCTGTGAAGTGTGAAGAGAATGCTGCTTTAAGGTCACACATTTCTGGAACCACAGCTCCCAGCAGCTACCAAAAAGACATATTTGATACTGAAACTACCCAGGCAGAAGTGAAAACTGAGATGAACTTAGGTTTGTAAGAAGGTTTCTCTTTATCTCATAATTTCATATTTACAAATTTCAATTTTTTAACCAAAACAAAAATACTTTCAAATGGGAAAATATTCAAATCAAGAGTTCTGCAGGCTCTGGCATGAAATGGGTTTCAGCTTTATAATCTTGCTTCCTCCTCCAAATCTGACCAGTGATAAATAAATACAGAAATAAAGTGACAGGCTCTGGAGGTGTCTTTAGCACAACCAGAAATTTGCAGGTGATCTGTGTGGTAGAAAATTGCCCCATATCCTGGGTTTTGGATCTGTGCTCAGATTTCTCCTTGTCAGATGGCCACAGATGGATGCTTGGGATTTGGTGGATTCATCAGAGAAATAAATTTATCAACCTGCCTGGAGTGGCACTCCCTGCTTGGGAGGAAGGAGCTCCAAGCCCTGTCCAGACTGGCCTTGAACGCATTGGGAACCTGGTGGGATAAAGGGTTTAATTCCAAGGGTGAAATAATTGGTGGGTGCCTGGACGGAGGAAGCAAAAATTCACATCTTCCCCCTTTTTTCACATCTTCCCCCTTTTTTCACATCTTCCCCTTTTTTTTCTTCAGGGCCAAAGCTTCAGAGTGACTCCAGAGGACCTGAGCTTGCTGCTGATTCGGAAGCAGCTGGAAAGGAAGCCCTGAAAGAGGAGAATTATGTTCTTCCCAAGAGCCGGGAATCTGGGAGAGTAACCACCTTAGCTCAGCCTAGAGCAGCATCAGGCAGGTATGGAGGAAGACTTCAGCTTTTGAAAGGATTCAGTTCATAATCCTGACTGTCCTCTTGCTTTACTCAGCTGAATCATGATTCAAGGCTGTGTGGAATGCTCAGACAGACACAGAGCTCTGTAGCTTTCACAGGAGATGGAGTTTGGTTTAAAACCTGAAAACTTCCCATGTTTCCTCCCTTGAATATTGGGACAGAAATGTGCAAGTGGCTCTGCCAGCACTGCAGTGAGGGGGCCTGGAGGAGAGGGATGTAGCCTTTACTCATGGCTCCTTCAGGAGCTCTCCTCCTGGTTTTCCCTTCCCTTTGTTCTTCCTTTTGGGAGGAGCAGAATCCAGCCAGGGCTCTCAGGCCTCTGCAGGAAACTTCAATGGTGTTGAAGAACCTTGAGCTGGCATTGCTGTGGATATTTGCTTTATCTGTCCCAGTCTTTCCCCACCAGTTTGGGGTCAGTGGGTGGTGGAGCTTTTGGGGCCTTTGATTCCAATCCTCAGTACTCCCCTAATTTCATCTGAAATCCTCTCTCAGAGGGCAAGCAGCTCCACAATAAGGTGAGGGGATTATTCTGTAGGGTTTAATGGAACACACACAGGATCTGTTCTCCCACTTGGATCATGATCTGCTTACTGCTTTTGGCATGTTTATATCCCTCTCCAAGCATCACAGCATATTTATCAGAAAGTAAATGTTAATTGCTTAAATAGTCATTTCCAGTGAGTAAATGCAGTGCAGATTTGTGTATCACAGAGCAGCTTATAAATTTGGTCTGCCCATCATGTTTATTTCTGGAGCATTCCTTAAGTACATTTAAACCTAAATACAAAAATTCCTGTCTGGTCTGTTGACTCTGTACATTTGCTTTAAACTGGGCAGTGTGAGAAGGTGTTGCTGTCTCGCTGCCAGATACAAAATATGTGAGGAATTGTGACCTGGCATGGGTGATGCCTCTTTTATTTTTTATTCCTCCCCTCCCCTCTGCCCCAAATTAGTGAATTACCCGAGAGAGAAGAAGGAGAAGGAGAAGAAACTCCAAACTTCAGCCACTGGGGACCACCACGGATGTATGTTCATATTTTTCCTTCCCATTTACCTCATATCTTTTTTTTTTTCTGTGAGCCACATTAGTTCTTCTTGGGTGTTTTTTTTTCCTCTCCTCCTCTGCCAATAACTTTAGGGTACCTGTGTACCTTGGGCTTTCCTGAAGACAGGGAATTTTTAACAGATGTTCAGCAGAATTCTGCCTTCTATTTATACAGCTGACATGGGAGAGCTTGGCTGGTTTAGGCTGTGGATGACCTGCAAGTTCTTGCTCATTTAATAACTATTAGGCATGAACAATGCACACAGTGCTGGGCTGTCTCCCTTTCCAGGGGTTCCCTGCTAAACCCCCATGGCAGGATTCCAAATTGCCACGCCACCCTTTTCAGCCACATCCTTGTTGTATTGTTAACAGTTTTAGGTGAATTGTTTTTATGGTCCCAAGCAAAATATGATCAGAAAGTTCCTGCTTGAGCTGATGAATATGCACTGAAGTCAGTGTTCAGAAAGTGGTATGAAATACTTCATTATTTGTCCAACGTGCCACTTGCAGGGCTTCCCATTCCCAGACACTTTGCTCAAGCTGAAAGGGGATGAGTATTTACTTGAAGATCTGACTTTCTCTGAAATAAAAGCCTCTGCCCAGTGGGCAGGGATTGGCAGCAGAATTTTGCTCTTATTGTGGGGTGAGATCTGCTCAGGGTGAAAACTCAACTCTGTTGAGAGCATTCTCAGGCTTCTTACTTTATCCCTTTACTCTGTTAAATCTTCTTGAAAGACCAGGAGCTTACATTTATTTAAGGCTTTGCATTGTAGTTTAAAAAAAAAAAAACCTGTTTGAAGCTCTTGAAACTACCACATATTTTTTTTACAGTGTTGAGATCTTCAGAGACCCTGAGGTGTCTCTTGGAATCAGCATTGTTGGTGGACAAACTGTCATAAAGCGCCTGAAGAATGGAGAAGAACTTAAAGGGATCTTTATCAAACAAGTTCTGGAAGACAGCCCAGCAGGAAGAACAAGGGCTTTAAAAACTGGAGATAAAATACTTGAGGTAAATGGAGATAAACCTTCTTTTTTAGTCTAAGAAATAAAAATTGTCTCAAACGGCTTTGGGTGGAGAGAGGAACAAAATACTGCCACCACTTCATGAGGTATTGGCAACACTTTGTTTTGAAAACCAAAGGAAAGCTCTGGTGGTGTTTCTTTTTTTTAAGTTCTGACTATGGAGCTCTTTTAACTTTCTCCTCTGTATTTAAGAAAAGATGTGTCCTGGTGTCTGAGGGGGAAGTGAAAAAAAATGGGAGTGTCCTCCTCCTGTACAAATGAGGAATAAGTTACAGCATATCTGTGAGCATAAATTTCATATATACAAGGACACAGAGTGTTCATACTGAATTATGGGCTGTTATTTTGTGTGTGTGGATTTAGAGTGGTTAACTGATAACCACTGTTTGGGATAAATCCCTGATTCTGGCAGGTGCTGCGGGGGGAAATGTCATTCCTGCCTCTCACCTCAGGTTGATTTTTTTTTACTCATTTTTCTCCAAATTAATACTTCAGTATCTGGGGTGCCAAGCTGATAGTGCTGTTCAGGTTTAATTTACAAACAGGTACAGCCTGAAAGAGTTAGATCTAATGTTATGTAACACCCTGACAATCTCATTCCTTATGTTTTTATCTAGAAGAATTGGTTTGGGCAACATATGGCCATCTTTTAATTATGAGTACCAAGTAATACACTTTTCTTTAAACCATCATCAAATCATACTTTACAAATAATTACTCTTGACTGTTTCTGATGCCTTCCTCAGATACACTAATCTGCTGCAAGTGTGTGTGATGCCTTGTAATGGCTCTGTACCTAATAAAAATAAACACTGTTTGTCAGGTTTCTGGGGTAGACCTACAAAATGCCACCCACAAGGAAGCAGTAGATGCCATCAAGAATGCAGGAAATCCTGTGGTGTTTGTAGTCCAGAGCTTGGCTAATGTACCAAAAGTAAGTTTATTTCAATTTTTATTCCAAAACTTAATAAATGCATAACATGCATCTTATTTTAAACTTGGCTAAACTCCTTTCAGCCAGTTCTATCCATTTTTGTGTCCGAGGATGGATCCTTTCAGTCAGTTACAGACCAATTGATTGATTGATTACTTCTCTGGCCTAATTGGAAACCTCATTTGTCTAATTTGCATGGAGTAGATGCAAATCTGTTGACTAGGTGTTAATTCAACTCTCACACCTGTGTAGTACGAGTCTGGCCCTATGCATTTTAATTTGTCCGTATTTTATAATCTAGAAATAAACTCTGTTATCCAAAGGAGCTAAGCTGGAATTAAAATGAGTCAGATTCACACCGGCAGCTCCTTGTGAGATGTGTCACCAGAGGGACCTGAAACAGTTCCCTGGGAGCAAGTTAATTTCCAAGAGATTTGAGGCATCTCCTCATCTTTGAGGCCAAGGCAAGAAACTTTTCAAAGCCTTAGTAAGAGCAGGCATACAATTCTACCTGCCTGAAGTCCACACAGAAACTCCAAACTTTTGATGTAAGAATGTAATCCAGTGAAAAAATATTATTTCTAGACTGCACTGCAGTGCTCTTTTACACTGGGCAAAGTGCAGAGTACACTGGGGAACTTTGTTGTTGTCAGGAGCTGATTTTGGATGTTTGTTTTGCAGCTGTAATTCTCTCTCTAATGTGGGTAATGTACATTGGTTTTCAGGTGGTTTCTCCTGCCCAGCCTAAGGGAATCAAAGTCAGCAAAGATCAGGATGCAGACAAAGAAAATAAGAGTGATAAGGTATTTATTGCATTCAGTGCTGTACCCAGGTTTTACTAAATCAAATGGTATAATAGCATGTATTCTAACTCTATGATAAGCTTCCTCCCAAGTCTGAAATTAAATTTGAAGTGTTTTGTTGAAATATCTTTGATTCTGCGACTTTTTGCCAAATTCCTGCCAAATATTCTGACATTTATTCTGTGGGTGTCTGCTGGGTGCTGAAACCCTGTACTTAGCACAGCTCCTCACTGTCAGCTCTCTGAAGTACCTGGTTTGCTCCGTGTGGAGGCAAATTGATTCCCTTTGTTCAGCAGAAACAGAGCAATGGCAACATGTACACAAATAATATCCTCAGTGTGGGGCTGCCTGCAATCCAGTGAAATCACCTTGTGGGATGATGACATCCACAGAGTCTCCTGCATTTCCCAGCTGTGTAAAATGAGGAAATGACTGAGGGATCTGTGGCTGCTCAGCTAATTGTGAGGCAGTTACTGCGCAGTGACTTCCAAACTACTTCACAGCAGCTTTAAAAGAGAAAAAACTCTGTTTGGTAGAAAACAGGGAGTTTGTGTTAATAAGGGAATAAGGGAAAAAATTAATTTTTCATTTTCAGCTGTATCACTCTCATGGCCTTGGTGTTTTCCTGGGCGATTTGTCCTGACTGAGGAGTGTAGTTCAGGTTCTTCGAGGGTGTGAGAGCAGCAGGAGCAGAGACAGAATTAATGCAGACAATAAGTTTTGCCTGGTGCAGTTTAACTACAAATAGGATGAAGTTTCCATTTGATCCTACTCAGCACTCTGGTGTTTGTTGGGTACTTGAGAGGACCCTTTTACCTCCAAAAGTTTTTGTAAAGGCTCCTTTCAGATCCAGTCAGGGACAGGAGCAGCGAGGCTCAGTTATCAGAAAAGGTGTTGGAAGACATGCTTTCATGCCAGAGGATAATACTTCCAATGAAGCACTTACAATCCCCTTTTCTTGTGTGGTTTTTTTTTTATCTGTATTTCTAATCTCAAAAGCTCTCATCCTCTGGCAACGTGCTGCCTTTAATCTGCAGCGCTCCGGTGCGCCGCGTTCTGCGGCGTTCCGAGGTTAAAGAGGGAGCCTCGTCTTTTTCAGGCCTTTTTCATCTATTGCTGCTGTAAACTGGTGGGTGGAATATAGAAGAGCTCCAGTGCATGAATATGTAGCTCCTTTTGGGCTTTGAACATGGGCTCACAAAGCAGTGGCAGTGCACTTCTGTGGGGCCGTCTCGGAGTTGGGAAGAGTTGCTATTAGTGGATTATTAGTCCACATCCCTATGGGGAATCACTGATATTTCTAGTCCAGTCTTCAGACACTCACAAAAGAGTTTGGCTTGAAAGCAGCCACATCCAGCTGGAAAACTTGCCTTTTCCTGTATCTTTTCAAATGCTGGAGGTTTTTCTCTGATTTGTTGGCGTTTATCCTCCTCTATTGATCTGTTTGTCTCAAAATGAGCACTTTGATTTCTGTAAAACCACTTAAAAAAACAGTGGACGAGCCAGATGTTGACATTATTTTGCTGGTTGGTTGTGTGAACTGTGCTTTTGCCCCTTGCTGGTACAAAAACGTGGTACAGTGGAGGAGCCAGGCACAATTTTCTCATCTGGATTTTCAGTGGGACAGGAGAGATAAGAGATATTTGTCCCTCTGAGCCCTGGAAAACTGCTGGGTAAGCCTGGGTGCCTCGTGTAATTTCACACAGGCTTTCTAACAAACATTTAAGGTCTTAAAAAGCCAAAGGGTCAACATTTAGACTGTAAGTTATTACTAAATTACAGTGATAATAAAGTGACTCATTTGTCACGGGCAGCTGAGAGTGAGGCTGCAGATTTTCCATCTTTACCTGTTCAGGAAAGTAGAACCCAAGCTCTCCCTTGCTTCCTGGATCATCTGGATTTTGCACAGTTCTGTCTGTGCTGGCTTCAAGAAAAAAGTAGGAGGCACCATTAAGTGTGTTACATCCTTTTGGAAAACAGCTGTTGTGCTTCCAAGTGCTCTCACTACACACTTCTGCTACTGGTGGATTGAATTAATTCCATTTATCATTGTGTTCTGTGTTCAGTGCAATGCTTTCCTGTTAATTTTTTAAATGGATGAGATGACAGATATTTTTACCCCTTCAAATTTTCCACATATTGCAGCTCACTACTTGCACCGTTCTATACGAATTCAGCTTGAAGAATTTAAAAATCAATACACAGGTTCAGCTTTCATCGCTGAAAAAATGAAATATTATCCTGGGCTCGATGTGTTTGGGTGTTGTGTCATATTTCCCAGCCACAGAAGGAATTAATTACAGGAATTCTGGGTGCTCTAATGGCATCTGCTCCCTGGTGTTCCCTCTCTAAAGTGCATCCTGCTATTAGCAGTGGGCTTGCAGGGGATGCAGCTGAGCATCCTTTAGTGGAGTCCTGGTGCACACCAAGGCAGGACTCGGTTCCTTGGAGCTGTGAAACAATTGCTGAGCTGAGCCAGAGCCTCTCCAGCCTCAGAGCCTGCTCTGCATTCCTGCCATGCGCCGCTATATGCATCATTATAGGAGCTGCCTGTATTTATGTGAGGTAATAGAATTTTATTGGGAGATATAATTCAAAACCTTTATTAAATTTACGCCAAAACACGGACGGACTGGGATGTTTAAATATTCATGTGTGGACTAAGAGGATTGAGTTCTTGTTTTATGTATTTTTTAAAAATTGATGTTTATCAGCACCAGACAGTTTTGTTATGGAGGCTTATAAGAAACAGGGTATAACTCAATGTTTGTTTTTAACCCTTGATTAGTGTTCACACTTTGATGCTTATGACAATACACAAGTATTTTATCAACAAGTAAATGTGCATGCACAATTGTGTTTTAGTTTTGTTTTTCTTGATGTCCAGTGTCACTTCTTGCTCTGCTTTCTTGCACAAAAAGCCTTTGCTGCAGAATTTAGCATTGTAATTAAGTGCTGTGCCTGTGCACATGCAGTGCAACAGACAATGGGATTTTTTTACGTTCTCAGAGGTTACAAAACGTGTAACTCATTGTCTTTGAATCCATCAGAGGAAATATGGGGCTCCACCTCCCATGAAGCTGCCACCTCCTTACAGAGCCCTCGAAAGGCACCACGCAGGGGAGGCTGCTCTGGGTGAAGAGGAGGATGAGGATGCTTGTGCAGAGGGTGAGTACTCCTCCAATCACTGCATCAGATCACATTTGTGGGGCACAGTCAGCTGCTGATAAACCTTTTATTGCTTGTGGGAAGTGGTGCTCAGTGTGGCCACAGCATCGATCCTCAGCCTGGTTTGTGACTCAGATGCTTCTTCTCCCCAGCCAGGTCCCAGAGCTCAGCTCTTCTGAGGAGATACTGGGAGGGCTGAGTTTATTTTCAGCCCCAGAACATGCAGGCTGTGTCTGGAGGAGTTGCTGGGGCAGAGATGTCAGCAGTGGCTGGGGATGTTCTGTTTTACTGCTCTGATTTCAGTGGTAGTCAGGCACCTGTAGGTTGAGGACCACTGGTGCAAAAAACCAGAAATCCTGGAGCTGGTCCCAGGCAATGCTGTTCAAGGAAGATGGGCTCCTTTAAAAAGAAAAATCTGCTGATTTGCTGTTTTGGTGCTCTGCTGAAGAAAGGATGCCCTGGTTTTGTAGCCCTCTGCCTTGGAAGGGTTCTGCAGTTGTCCCATTTTGGGTTTGGCAGTGGTTTGTGGTGGTGCTCACTCTGTGGAAGAGCAGGGACCTGAGGAGCAGGAAGCAGTGCAAGTGGAGAGCTCCTGGCAGCATGATTTAGATTCCAGCTGCTTTGGAATCACAACTTTGGTTAAATGGAATATTATTATCCATAGCTTATCTTGCAGTAAAATATTTAGGAATACTGAATTTGCAATTAGGAGTCCTAAATTACTTTCTAAAATCAGTTACCTTTTCAGTTACCTTTTTTTTTTTCTTTTATCTTTATGCTTTTTTGTGCCAAATCAGTATAAGGTGAGATGAGGCCTTGACAGTGCAAAGTGCCCCTGCCCATGGCAGGAGGTGGAATGAGATGATCTTTAATGTTCCATCCATCCCTGTAACATTCTGTGATTCTGTGTGGGCTTTTGTTGGGGTTTAGTTTGGTTTGGTTTTTTTTTTTTTTTTTTTGCTACAGTGATTTTCTCATCATCTTGAGCTCTCAACAGACTGGGTAAATCTCCAGTTCTAACAAACTCATTCCAGCTCGTTATTGAAGTTCTAATTCCCAGTTAAAGGGTAGGGGTGATAAGTAGGCTGACACCTGAGTTATCTAATTAGGATATGCCTCAATCCAAGTGCTTGCTGGGCCTAAGTTAATACTTTGCACAGAAGTAATTCCTTATTCATGGGCTTGGCCATTTTTTAGCTCTCCTGCCATCCCTAATGATATTGCTGGCTGAGGCTGGAAGCTGAAAAGGTAAAGCTGCTGCTGATATTAAATTCATCAATCCTACCAGACTTGGCAGCAGCACACAGATCTGTTCAGGGGAATCTCCTCTCTTTCCTTTCTACTGACTGAAGTTGAATGTTTCGCTGTAGCCATCTTTTCCATGAATCTTGGGAAACAGATATGTTGTTCCTCACCTCATTCTGTTCCTTTAAAAATTAAGAACAGGCCAAGGAAGCCTAAACTAAGTTTGTGCCTCAGCCCTTGCAGTAAAAAGTATGTTAGAAATGATCCAAGTGTACTTAATGGCATTAAGCATCTTGGCAGCTGTGGAATGGCCTTTTACAGAGTCCCTGTTCTGTGATCACTTGAAAAACAAAGTTTTCTCTGCAAATTCCAGTACAGTGATGTTTCTGTGAACTGCTTGATGCTCATAACTTCTGTCCTGGTTCTTGAGCAGCTTTCCCAGAAATCCCAACCCAGACAAAACTTGTCTTTCTGAAATGTCCATTTGTATGTTCATATTGCTCTGTCCCTTACCCACTTATCCAGCTCATTCTGCTGGGTTTGGAACTTAACTAAAAATACATCAACAGGTGAGCTGGATTTATTGTCTTCCTTATTTAGAAGATAAGGTTCCTTCCAAGAGGAAGATGTGGTAAATTCACATCATAACTTCTCCCTTATTTGCTTCCTGGAGTTCTCAATCTCTGTCACAGCATGGAAAGCTTTGGAGGGCATTTTGAGGTGGGACAGCTGTTAAACCTGTCCTCTTGTTTTGCTCCTGATGGATTTTACTTTATTTTTTAGCATTCTTATTAACACAGCTGCAGTGTCAGGAACCTGCTCATCAATTTCTTTCAAACTCCAGAAATACTTTATTTGCTCTGCTTGACATTTTTTGTCCTTGCTTATCAATTCTTTCAACCCTCCCTCTCATCTTTTGTCTCCGCATCCTCCATCATTCCCCAGACTGAAAAAGCAGAGCATTGTTAGTCTTCCTGCCATATCTGAGAATTTTTCTTTCCTTTCTGTCCCATCCACATGGCCTCAGAGTCCCCATGTTTTGTCTGTTTTCCCATTAAAGTGGCCGAATAACCTTTTGGTGTTGATTTAATTTCCCCTGAAGTCTAAACCCATTTGCCTTTTGGCAATGCTCCCTTTTATTTCTGCTTTCCCACTGCTGAAACTGGAGCTCTCATTGCTGACCTGGAGCCTGAATTCCTGTTTGGAACAAACAGTCATTTCTTGTACATGTTCTCCCTTTTCTTTCCTGGAGTTGGTTTTGATCCAAAGAGGGAAAATCCTTGTTGGGAATAGAACTGTGAGGTAGTTTTGGTTTAGAGAAACTCCAGACATGTCCTCCATATTTCTGTGGTTTAAGAAGTTTAAGGTTCCAGGTGTTTTGCTGCTTGGTTGTTGTTTTTTTTTTAATGTGACTCTTGCACCCAAGACCTTTTAGTTTCAGATCTGCTTCTCCTTTGCTTCATGCCTCCAATGTTTCCAACATCATTTCCCAAGTTCCTAGATGGCTTTTCCTTGACTTTGAAAGAAAGTTGAAAGTTGTATTTCCTCTTGTCTTATTCCTTTTTCTAGAGGCACTGCCAAATCTTTATCTGTACCCAGCTCTAACCCTGTGTGTGGGTTTTGTTTTCTCTTTGCTTTGAGGTTGCTGTTTCAAGTTTTTGGGGTTTTTTTAATGCATGGAAACAGTTTTGCACAACTTGCAGCGTGTCCATCCATCCTGCTGCAAAAGGAGCTTTCAGAATGCTTCATCCTCCAGACCTGAAACATTTTGGAGTTTTCCCTTCCCACGCTTGCCCGTGGCAGAACCTGTTTTGGAGAAAGAAGTTTTATGGAGACTTCTCAAATCTGAAAAACACTGAGTTGCGAATGGATTTTTTTTTTCTTCTTTTTTTTTTTTTTTTTAAATCAAAACAAGTGAAAGGAGGGGAAGGCACACAAAGGAGCTGTTTGTGCTTGTGAGCAGCTGTGCTGCAGGCATCAGTAGGCACTGGTGTGTTTTCCTGGAGTGGGGATGGCTGGAGGTGTGCTCCAAGAACCTGCTAATGGACCTGTGTGCACCCCGTGGTGGCTTGCTGCCATAATGAGGGCTTGGCAGGAAAAAGAAGCAGGGAGAATGGATGGGCAGAGCAGTTTGTAATGGAATTTTTGGTGAGGTTGTCCTTGGGGGAATTCCTGGCTGTACGGTTGGGATATGCTTTCGTGACCGAGTTGCAGCAAACGTGAATCGGACAGGAGAGAGCTGAAAAACCATTCTAGAAAAACTGAAAGGACAACTGAAAGAACTTGGAATCCTTAATTTCAACTGCTGTTCTGTTCTTTGTGGAATCTTTTGTCAGTTAGTTGACTGGGATCGATCTGGTTGGTTTCAAAGAAGTCCAAAATAATAAAAATGGATGGTAATAAAAAATTTGTGGAAGGTGGCTTGGATAATGGACTAAGCTACTGCTGTGCTCAGACTTCCTGTCTGCAAGGATATTTAACTGTATCTAATAAGGGGATAATAATGCCCCCTTCCTCTTATTTTGCCTCTAGGTAATGTAGAAATCAATGAAGCTCTAAGAAAGCATAATGATTTATCTTCCTAAGATGCCTTTTTGAGGAACAGTGGTTTATCTGCTAAAGCAAGAGATTTTAAAACTTCTCTGGTATTTTGACTTTGCATTCTTGACTCAGAGGGTGGGGAAGCCCTGGCATGGAGGAGTTGTGGATTCCCCATCCCTGGAAGTGTCCAAATCCAGGCTGGATGCCTTTAAGGTCCCTTCCAACCCAAATCCTTCCATGGTTCTGTGATCCCCCCATGGTTGTGATAAATCTGTTGGTGCAGGAGGGTTGGATTGGGACTGGGCAGCTCTTAACACACCTGAGGATTTTGGCAGCATCCAGGTGCCAGTGATGTCTGTGATCAGTGAGAGCAGAAAAACAAAAGATGGAAAAAAAGGAATCCAGGTCAGTTGAGAGTCTGAGGAAGGTATGGTCAGGTTGATGGGCTGGGCAGGAACAGGATCTCTGGAAGTGTCTGTGCACTGCTGTGGGCCAGGATGGCAATGTGAGCACCAGCATTTTGGGAAAATGCCAGGATTATTAACAAATGACTAAATAAAAGCCAGCCCACTCATAATTCCTGGGCATCTCACTGTTTGGAGTCTGGTGTATGCAAAAGTTGTGCTGAAACGAAGGAAAAGCAATCCTAACTTTTGCTTTTCACTTTGGGGGGGATCAGCTGAAAATGTTGCTCTCCAGTGGAGGCAGCTCGTGCAGCCAAGCACTGCCTCTCCAATAGATGTCACTGCAATCAACAGCAAACACAGATGATGCTCACAGGGGAAGATGTAGCTTGGAAAAAGGCTTCAAGCTTTATGAAAATAAAACATTGCAAAAGTAGTAATTGCAAGATTTAATGTTCTTAAATATAGCACCGAGTGTGTTTAACACAGTGGATTTTCTTAGATCAGGCAAGAGCCAGGATTAGACAAATAGAGCAGAGACTTTCATTTTTCAGCTCTGTGTTAATCTCTATTTAATGTGACTCTGTGCTGCTAATCTTCTTTTCCCATTCTTGTTCTGACCCATAATTAGCTCAAATACATGGAGTTTATAACCAGCCCTGAGATCAGATCCAGAATGAGCCACAGAGCTGCCCTGGCACACTGGGATGGGTGAGGGAGGTGCTGTCCCTGCACTTTGAGGCTGTGGGTTCGTTTGGGGTTTTGTTGTTGGGCTGGTTTCTTCACTCTCTTTGTGAGTCACACGCACAG